ACCTCCGCCTCCTGGGTTCAGGCAATTCTCCTGCCTCAGCCTCCCGAGTAGCCGGGACTACAGGCACGCGCCACCATGCCCAGCTAATTTTTTTTGTATTTTTAGTAGAGACGGGGTTTCACCATGTTGACCAGGATGGTCTCGATCTCTTGACCTCGTGATCCACCCGCCTCGGCCTCCCAAAGTGCTGGGATTACAGGCGTGAGTCACCACGCCCGGCCCTATTTATTTTTTTTTTGAGACGGAGTTTCACTCTTGTTACCCAGGCTGGAGTGCAATGGCGCGATCTCAGCTCACCGCAACCTCCGCCTCCTGGGTTCAGGCAATTCTCCTGCCTCAGCCTCCTGGGTAGCTGGGATTACAGGCACGCGCCACCATGCCCAGCTAATTTTTTGTATTTTTAGTAGAGACGGGGTTTCACCATGTTGATCAGGATGGTCTCGATCTCTTGACCTCGTGATCCACCCACCTCGGCCTCCCAAAGTGCTGGGATTACAGGCTTGAGCCACCGCGCCCGGCCCATATCTCTATCTTGAGAACAGCATGGGAGAAACCACCCCCACAATCCAATCACCTCCCACCAGATTTGAGATGAGATTATAGATAGCCAAACGATATCATTCTGCCCGTGCTTGCTTGCTTGTGCACTCTCTCTGTCCCTCTTTTTATTTCTTTCTTTCTATTTGATGGGGTTTCACTCCGTCGCCCAGGCTGGAGTGCAGTGGTGTGATCTCGGTTCACTGCAACCTCTGCCTCCTGGGTGCAAGCCATTCTCCTGCCTCAGCCTCCTGAGTGGCTGGGACTACAGGCCTGCACCATCATGCCTGGCTAATTTTTGTGTTTTTTAGTAGAGACAGGGTTTCACCATATTGGCCAGGCTGGTTGAGATCTCCTGACCTCATGATCTACCCACCTCGGCCTCCCATAGTGCTGGGATTACAGACCTGGGCCACTGCACCCGGCCCCCTGGCCCTTTTCAAATCTCATGTCCTCATAGTTCGAAAAACAATCATGCCTTCCCAACAGGCCTCCAAAGTCTTAACTCATTCTAGTATTAACCCAAAAGTCCAAGTCCAAAGTCTCATCTGAGACAAGATAAGTCCCTTTTGCATAGGAGCCTGTAAAATTAAAAGCAAGTTAATTACTTCTAAGATGTTATGAAGGAACAGGCATTGATAAATGCTCCCATTCCAAATGGATGAAATTGGCCAAAACAAAGAGGCTGCTGGCCCTATGCAAGTCAAAAATCCAGTGGGGCAGTCATTACATCTTTTTTTTTTTTTTTTTTTTGAGACGGAGTTTCGCTCTTGTTGCCCAGGCTGGAGTGCAATGGCATGATCTCGGTTCACTGCAACCTCCACCTCCTGGGTTCAGGCAATTCTCCTGCCTCAGCCTCCTGAGTAGCTGGGATTACAGGCATGCGCCACCATGCCCAGCTGATTTTTTGTATTTTTAGTAGAGATAGGGTTTCACTATGTTGACCAGGATGGTCTCGATCTCTTGACCTCGTGATCCACCCGCCTCGGCCGCCCAAAGTGCTGGGATTACAGGCGTGAGCCACCGCGACCGGCCTACATCTTAAAGTTTATTTTAATCTCCTTTGACTACATGTCTCACATCCAGGGCGTGCTTATGCAAAGGGTGGGCTCCCAAGGCCTTAGGCACCTCTGCCCCTGTGGCTTTGTAGGGTTCAGGCCCAGAGGCTGCTCTGTTGAGTGCCTGCAGCTTTTCCAGGTGCATGGTGCAAGCTGTTTGCAGACCTGCCGTTCTGGAGTCTGGAGGATGGTGGCCCTCCAGCTCCACTAGGCAGTGCCCCAGTGGGGACTCTATGGGGGAGCCAACCCCACATTTTCCTTCTGCACCTCCCGAGCAGTAGTTCTCCATGAAGGCTCGTCCGCTGCTGCTGACTTCAGCCTGAACATCCAAGCATTTCCACACATCCTTTGAAATCTAGATAGTGGTTCCCAAACCTCATTTCTTGACTTCTGTGCACCTGCAGGCCCAGCACCATGTGGAAGCCACCAAGGTTTGGGGCTTGCACCCTCTGAAGCAACAGCCCAAGCTGTACCTTGGCCGCTTGTAGCCACAGCAGAAGCTAGAGCAGCTGGGACTCAGGGCCCCAAGTCGTGAGGCTGCCCAAGAAAGCATTTTTTCTTCCTAGGCCTCAGGTCCTGTGATGGGAGGGGCTCCCTTGAAGATCTCTGACATGCACTGGAGACATTTTTCCCATTGTTTTGGTGATTAACATTCAGCTCCTTGTTACTTATGCAAATTTCTGCAGCTGGCTTAAATTTCTCCTCAGAAAATGGGTTTTTCTTTTCTATTACATGGTCAGGATGCAAATTTTCCAGACTTTTTTGCTGTCACCTCTTGAACACTTTCTTAGAAATGTCTTCTACCTGATATCCTAAATCATCTCTCTCAAGTTCATAGTTCCACAGATCTCTAGGGCAGGGGCAAAATGCCGCCAGTCTTTCTGTTAAAGCTTAGCAAGAATGACCTTTACTCCAGTTCCCAATAAGTTCTTCATCTCCATCTGAGACTACCTCAGCCTGGACCTCATTGTCTATATCACTATCAGCATTTTGGTCAAAGCCATTCAACAAGTCTCTAGGAATTTCCAAATTTTCCCGTATCTTCCCATTTTCTTTTGAGCCTTCTAAACTGTTCTAGCCTCTGCCCATTACCCAGTTCCAAAGTTACTTACACATTTCAGGTTATCTTTATAGCAGTGCCCCAATCCTAGTACCAATTTATGGTATTAGTCTGTTGTCATGTTGCTATAAAGAAATACCTGGGACTGGGTAATTTACAAAGGAAAGAGCTTTAATCCACTTACAGTTCCGCATGTCTGGGGAGGCCTCAAGAAACTTAAAATCGTGGTGGAAGGCAAAGAAGAAACAAGTACCTTCTTCACAAGGTGGCAGGAAAGAGAGAGTGAAGGGGGACGAGCCCCTTACAAGGCCATTCATATCTCTTGAGAACTCACTCACTATCATGAGAATAGCATGAGGAAACCACCCCTTGATCTAGTCACCTACCAGGTCCCTCCACATACCATTGGGGATTACAATTCGAGTTGAGATTTGGGTGAGGACATAGCCAAACCATATCAGGGCCAAGGGACTGTGACTGGTAAAGGGGAGTTTGGATACTGGCAGCTTTCTGAAAGTGTTCCCTCAGCCATGTGAAGATAGTGTAGCTTCTTAGTAGCAGATGTTTCAAGAATTGAGAATGATATTACTCCATCTGCCCTGCTGCTATTAAGACTGGTTCTGGATGTCCCAGTAAAATAATAATAGTGCATATATGGCCACGTGCAGTGGTTCACGCCTGTAATCCCAGCACTTTGGGAGGCTGAGGTGGGTGGATCACCATAGGTCAGGAGTTTGAGACCAGCCTGGCCAACATAGTGAAACCCTGTCTCTACTAAAAAATACAAAAATTAGCTGGGCGTGGTGGCACATGCCTGTAATCCCAGCTACTTGGGAGGCTGAGGCTGGAGGATCACTTAAACCTGGGAGGCGGAGGTTGCAGCGAGCAGATTATTGCACCACTTTACTCCATCCTGGGTGACAGAGCAAGACTTTGTCTCAAAGAAAAAAAGAAAAAAAATAGTGCATATATGGCCAGATACAAGCGGTTTGCCCATGTTCTTGCCTAACCTGGAAAATACAACACTTGAAATTCATGAGACATCATTAG